ATGACATCTCTGTCTACCCAACTGATACTGAAAGATAGTCAAGAGATTCTACAACTTGGCTAATCAATGCTCCAGAAATCTCTGATAATCTATTATGACCATTCCTGTTGATATAATCTGATTTTTGTGTAGGTTGAATGATTTATACACAGGTATGCAAGTAATCTGTTGCACAGTTGATCTGGAATAATTTATGTCATGCGGTATCTTTCTCTTATGATCACTCCATGTATACCTTTAGACAGACATGCAAGTGCATATCCCTTGCCTACTGCAGTCTGAAAAACGTGTGTTCTCAAAGATTGGACAAGGTTTTACAGCAGCTTTGCGTTCTGCTTTTAATTGTATGATTTTCCGCCCAGACACTACAGAAATTTTCCAGCATTCTGTAAGATTTCTGCATTGTTGCGTTTACCTTGTCACTTGTTCCTTGCTCCGATCAGTAATACAACATGCAGATATGTCTTGTATATGACCAGCCATGCCAAGCAAATCAAGATAATAGGATGCCTGTTTCCTATAACTACAGTATGTATCGGAGCAAAACGGCTAAAATACCTTGCTATGCACACCATGGTAGAGCAATGCCCATGAGACAGATAGGCAATACAAATCTTTTGTGAAATCCTTCACTGTCCAATCTATGGATTGCATCTTCTTGGAACCATACAAAAGTCATTCTCCTCCAGGTGACAGGTTGCTGATCATTTTATGTTAATAGCTCTCTACACTGTTCAGATGAAAAAGGGTGGTCCTCTTCCAAAATTCAGCATTCCTTCCCTTACATGGCACTGCAATTAAACCTCTGGATATGTAAAAAACAAAATGTTACCTTGCAGCTTTGCATCCCCTTTCTTGTACAGAAAATGCTCCTCAGCAGTATGGTAGTGCAGCACTGCCAGACATCCCCGACCACTAACGAACACCTTTCCTCTTCTTAGCTGCTGTGTGCTTTTACTGAGCATCACAGAGTTGTCACCTATTTGTATGATTCAGTAGTAGACAAAAAAAACTTGATAGGACAGTCGGCTAGAATTTAGACATCTCCTAAATGACTGTGATTTCAGCAGTGCGGTGCAAGAGCTCATTCCTTCTGTCCTTGGCAACAGACTGGTGCTTCATAGATTCCCAGGGTTGTTCCAATTTGTGTTTAGTGGAAGTGCTGCTGAACAGGCTTCCTTTAAAGGCTATTATTAACCCTTCCTCTTCTACTTCTGCCGTAGAGACTATGAAAGCATTTCAAAGATTCTATTCCATTGTAAACAGTTTTTTTTTTGTCTTTGGCAGCCTTTGTACATCTGAGTTCATATTTTTCTGTTTTGTTTTTTTTTTTTTCATTGCTGTCGTTTTTTTGCTTGAAGGTTTTATTGAACATGTATTTATGCTGTCTTTGAAAGGGGAGAACAGAATGTCATGGTTACGTGAAGCTAAAAGCAGTTTCGAAAGTGAAGTCTTAAGCAAGTGATGTTAGATATATTGAGTTATTAGATAAATTATTACTTATGTTTATAGGTTTAATTAGCAAGGCAGTGAGAAAAGCAGCAATGGTGTGCATATTTATTAACTCATAGCCATCAATCAAGTTTTAAATGAATATATTCAGATTAGATTAGAGATTATTTCTTTTGGGTTTATGTTTTCATTATTATGTCCCAGGCATGATCTAAGTGAACTTGGGCACCTGCATCCACAGGTGGAATCTTAAACAAAAATGGTCTTCTTGGCTGAGCAACTGCTGTAGGTATAACGTCCATCAAACTAAACTTGTGGACTTGGTCACCTGCATCCATAGGTGGAATCTTAAACAAGAATGGTTGCCTTGGCTGAGCATCTGCTGCAAGCATTACGTCTACTGAATTAAAATTGGCTCTGAGAAGCCTTGGCTGGTTTCATTTGCAGATAGCTCATAGACATAGGATTGCCAGCCCAAATCTGACTATTTTCAGCTCACGTTTAAAGGTATCTTTGTTTATCTTTTTATCTTTGACCAATATTGAAAAGATCCCAAACACAATCCGTAAATAAGCTGCAAGCATAAAGTGAATAAACACCTAAACTGATAAATAAAACAAATATGCTGCACTAGCATACTTTATTTATCTTCACTGTCCTAATGTTTGTAGTGTTTAACAGATAAAATCATACTGGTTGCTTTGAGTACTCTTGCAAATGACTATTATTGTTTGTGCTGTCATATTGAAAAAAGCTTAAGCCGGCAATAGATGGTTTGAATCTCGGCCAGTTCAGCAGGGACCAGCCAATATTTGAACGATCTATGGGCAGGCTGATTGTACCCAATTCGATTGTTGTGCGACTTGGATACAACCAACCAGTCGTGTTTTCCATGCAATTATTGCCAATGGCTGTAGCCCCAGGAAATAGTCACTGTGCTTTCCCGGTAGGGACAGTTTCCCTTTCTGCGCCCCCCTTCTGGGAGAACACAATATCTCTGAAGGAGGGATTCCCCCATCAATACTGACTGTGTTGATAGGGGAATCACTTCATCTATGGCCATCCTTAAGCTAGTACACACTGCTTTTAAAGCGATCGTATGATAATCTGATTGTTCATACTCAGGTTTCAAGAGCCAATCATGACAGTTCATCCAAAATAATAGAAAGGAACAAACACAAATTTTTTTTTATACGATACCAGATTTTACGATTTTCATTTAATCAGTACAGTTTTCATCCGAAAATACAACACAAATACAATACTATACATTACATCACTTCGGAAGTTGTATTCTGTAGTATGAGAATTTTCATAAATTGAGCAACCTTTTTATTTTTGATATGGAGATTAACGTGCAAAATAAAAACAAAAAAACGGACACTCATTCCTCTAATATTCTCCTTGTGTGTATGAGGCTTTAGGTGTAAAATTTGTGTGGAAAAGGCCACCTCCTCTAATTCTGTATTTATTTGACAAGCTGTTTGTTTATGCAATGGACAGTTTACTTCTTTCAATCCCCTTTTTTGGATGTAGGGATGCTTCAAAAATGCCTTGTATTTCCTTTTCAATTCAATAAACACTATTGAAAAAGACAAACAAAAAAAAAATCTATCTGTCTCTGTTTTTCTTGAATGTTTTGTCAGCATGACACTTAACCTTCACTTTCCCCAAGAACTACCTCCTGGCAGAAGGTCAACTGAGGAGTCCAGTCACGGAGGTCACGGAGGTGGTGCCGCCCAAATGTTGCATGCACATGTAGGCCAATGTGAAGCAAGGCTCCGCAATTGGGGATACGTGTACTGATTTGTGTAGCCTAGCGCACCTTCTTAAACTTGGTCTTTAAGAAAAGCACAAGTCATTTTTTTTTAGTAGGTTAGACCAACCGTCTCCAAACTGTGGCCCTGGGACCAGCGGTGGCCCTTTGCTTGCCTTTATCTGGCCCTTGAGGCACTATTCTGTCCACTGACACCAACGATGGGGCATAATTCCTTCCACTGACAAAAAAAAATGGGGGCACTGTTCCTCTTACTGATACCAACTATTTCTCTCCTAACACCAGAAATCAGATATCATTTACTTCCTCTGGGCGCAGTCTGTCCCTCGTAAAGTCTGAAGCACAGTTAACTGTCCCTTTCTTTAGAAAGTCTGGAGACCCCTGGGTTAGACAAACAAGCATTTCTTATGTCTATCTGTGCATAGTTATGACCATCAGTGCCTTTAAATGTGTACTCTCTATATTGCTTTCGGCTAAACATACAGTATAAAGGCACATATCTCCTCACTAACAACAAGCTGGAAGCTATTTGATCATATGTGCATCATGCAGATCTTGGCCAGGACCAACTGTGACCCTCCCCCAGCACTCACGTACTATCGTTTTAAATGTAGTGCTGTAATTCCATAAATATCAGTTTAAACCTGTTAAAATAAAACCTTTAATGAAATAAAAATGCTGATGGCGATTGTTTACTACCTTGTGGAATTGCTAGTTGCCTTTCATACTAATCCTCATTTATTTTTGTGTTGCTGACTCAGAACAAACCTACACATCAGGAGTGTTGGCTTTTCTTGTTGCATACCTGTTCTGGGTTAATAGCTCTAAAACTATTAAAACCAGGGACAGCCAAAGAACTATATATATATATATATATATATATATATATATATATATGAGAGAGAGAGAGGGAGAAACAGGAATCTGTTAACAAGAGAGTTTTATGAATAGGAATAAAACAGCTGTCAGCTGTCCATATACCGTATTTGCCGGCGTATAAGACGACTTTTTAACCCATGAAAATCTTCTGAAAAGTCGGGGGTCGTCTTATACGCCGGGAAACGGCGAGCCGGTGTCAGGGCAGCCCTTTTTCGAGGGGCAGCGCGGTGGCGGAAGGGACACTAAGTACAGGGGCGGGCAGGGGGCTGCTGTACCTTACCTGGCTCCGGTCCCACGACGATCTGGTCCAGGAAGCGCGGCTGCTCCTTCTTTCAGTTCGGCCGCACGATGGTTGCGCGGCCGTTCGGCTCCGCCTCCTCACCGGTGATTGGGCGCCAGCACTGGAAAGGCACACAGGCGACCAATCACCGGCGAGGAGGCGGAGCCAAGCGGCCCCGCGAAAATCGAGTGAGGGAGCGGCCAGTAAGTGTGCAGCAGCACCATGCTGTGACACTCTTGGCACTGTACCTCTCCCCCACTGACACTAACGATGGGGCACTGTTCCTCCCCCACTGACACCAACGATGAGGCACTGTTCCTCCCCCACTGACACCAACGATGAGGCACTGTTCCTCCCCCACTGACACCAACGATGGGGCACTATTCCTCCCCCACTGACACCAACGATGAGGCACTGTTCCTCCCCCACTGACACCAACGATGGGGCACTATTCCTCCTCCCCAATGACACCAATGATGAGGCACTATTCCTCCCCCCCTCACACCAACAATGAGGCACTATTCGTCCCCCCAATGACACCAACGATGAGGCACTATTCCTCCTCCCCACTGACACCAACGATGAGGCACTGTTCCTCCCCCCACTGACCCCAACAATGGGGCACTATTCCTCCCCCACTGACACCAACGATGAGGCACTATTCCTCCCCCACTGAAACCAACGATGGGGCACTATTCCTCCTCCCCAATGACACCAATGATGGGGCACTCTTCCTCCCCCACTCACACCAACGATGAGGCACTATTCCTCCCCCCACTGACACCAACGATGAGGCACTATTCCTCCTCCACACTGACACCAATGATGAGGCACTGTTCCTCCCCCACTGACACCAATGATGGGGCACTATTCCTCCCACTGACTAATGATGGGGCACTATTCCTCCCACTGACACTAATGATGGGACACTATTCGTCACACACTGACACTAATGATGGGGCACCATCATTGGTGTCAGTGGGAGGAATAGAGTCCCATCATTGGTATCAGTGGGAGGAATAGTGCCCCATCATTGGTGTCAGTGGATGAAATAGTGCCCCATCATTGGTGTCAGTGGGAGGAGTAGTGCCTCATCATTGGTATCAGTGGGAGGAATAGTGCCCCATCATTGGTGTCAGAGCGAGGAATCGTGCCCCATCATTGGTGTCAGTGGGAGGAATAGCACCCCATCATTGGAATACCATACTGAAATAGCATACCATATTGAAATCAAATCTGATGTTTTTTCATTTTTATTTGGTGTGTGTTGGAAGAGGGGTAGTCTTATACGGCGAGTATAGCTCAAACCCTATATTTTAACAGGAAAAGTAGGGGGGCGTCTTATACGCCCAGTTGTCTTATACGCCGGCAGATACGGTAGTGTCCTTAAATCATAAAGTGCAAAGTACTTCTATTTCACTCCAGTGAATCTCAGCTCTTCAGTGAATACAGATCACCTTTGTGCCACCACCTTCACCACAGAAATTACACCGAAAAAACCATGACCCTCTTATATAATGTGGGTCATGCAGCGCTTGTTCTCCTTTAAGGGAAGGGGGTCTTGTAGGTATTTTGCGTGATATACATTGAGTTGCTTTGAATACATTGGTTTATATACAGATTCAGGAATTGATAGTGTGTTGTGAGCAACAGCTTGGTGAGGATCGCTATATACACTTTTTGCTAGTTGCCTTTCATACAAATCCTCATTTATTTTTGTATTGCTGACTCAGAACACCCTTTAAAAGGAGGGCATCTTTGGCATGGGTTTATTGTTTAGAAATGTATATTTAAAGCAGGTCAGCATTAGCAGCTTCTGTATTTTACTCCTAACAAGTAAACTTTGAAGGATAAGTTCATCTTTAAAAAAAACTAAAAAAAAATAATAGAACATATTATGCAGGTAAAAAAAGGTGTATTATTTTTTTTAGACCAGCCTGCAGAGCATTTCACCCACGATCACCAGATTGTGGGTGCAATTTCAGGTTCATGCGCAGTCTTCTCTAGCATTGTGTCTGCATCCCCACATGGGCTTTCTGTTACAAAGCTAGAAGAAGAACAACAAATGAACTATGAGCATGCTGAGTAGCGTGGTCGCAGCCCATTCAAACTACAATTTCAGGGCCCAATTTCAGGTTCATGCGTAGTCTTCTCTAGCCTTGTGTCTGCATCCCCGCATGGGCTTTCTGTTACAAAGCTAGAAGAACAAATTAACTATGAACATGCTGAGTAGCATGGTCGCAGCCCATTCAAACTACAAACACGTCTATGATGGCGGATGGAGCTTGTTGTTTTTTTCATTCACAAACTTTGTGAATGAATGATGCAGTTGTGTGGGCAGAGCACCATACAGCGCACTGTTTTCAAAAAGTGAAATTCCCCCATCTGTTGTCACAGAGCAGGGAGTGCTGGTGGTGGGAAGCAGGCACTTAGGAGCATGGTACATGTTACACCCATACATGTTAAATATGGGTGTAACATACTCTTAAAGGTGAACTTATCCTTTAAGAGATTACATCTGGGAATTTAACTTTCCATATGTAGGTTTTAAAACCCTGAGACTTCCTGTGTGAATTCAGGACAACTGGAAACAATGTCTTGGAGTGTGCAGTTAACAGGAAACTATATTTTTATATATATATATACAGTTGCAAGAAAAAGTATGTGAACCCCTTGGGATTACGTGGAGTTTTGCATGAATTGGGCATAAAATGTGCTCTGATGAACGTCATCTAAGTCACAACAATAGAAGAACACAGTCTGCTGAACATAATACTACACAAACATTAGATGTTGCCATGGTTTAATTGCACATAACATGTAAACATTCACAGTGCAGGGAGGAAAAAGTATGTGAGGCCCTAGCTTAATGACTTCTCCCAGAGCTAATTGGAGCCAGGAGTGAGCCAACCTTGACTCCAATCAGTGTGATGATATTGGATGTGTTGCTGACAGCTGTCCTGTCCTTAAAAAAACACACCTGTTTTGGGTTTACTGGTTTCAAGAAGCACTGTCTGATGTGAACCATGCCTCGCAGAAAAGAGCTCTCAGAAGACCTACGATCAAGAATTGTTGACTTGCATGAAGCTGGAAAGGGTTACAAAAGTATCTCCAAAAGCCTTGATGTTCATGTGTCCACGGTAAGACAGACTGTCTACAAATGGAGAAAGTTTAGCACTGTTGCTACTCTCCCTAGGCATGGTCGTCCTGTAAAAATGACTGCAAGAGCACAGCGCAGAATGCTGCATGAGGTAAAGAAGAATCCCAGAGTGTCAGCTAAAGACCTACAGAAATCTCTGGCACATGCTAACATTTTTGTTGACACATCTACAATAAGGAAAACATTAAACAAGAATGGAGTACATGGGAGGACACCACGGAGGAAGCCATTGCTGTCCAAAAAGAAGATTGCAGCACGTTTGAAGTTTGCAAAAGAGCACCTGGATGTTCCACAGCACTACTGGCAAAATATACTGTGGACAGATGAAACCAAGATTGAGTTGTTTGGGAAGAACACACAACACTATGTGTGGAGAAAAAAAGGCACAGCACACCAACATCAAAACCTTATCCCTACTGTGAAACATGGCGGAGGGAGCATCACGGTTTGGGGCTGCTTTGCTGCCTCAGGGCCTGGACGGATTGTTGTCATTGATAGGAAAATGAATTCCAGAGTTTATCAAGACATTTTGCAGGAAAACGTACGACCATCTGTCCGCCAACTGAAGCTCCGCAGAGGATGGGTGATGCAACAGGACAATGACCCAAAGCATACAAGTAATTCAACAAAACAATGGCTGCAGCAGCACAGAATACGCCTTCTGGAGTGGCCCAGTCAGAGTCCTGACCTCAACCCGATTGAAATGCTGTGGCATGACCTTAAGAGAGCGATTCACACCAGACATCCCAAGAATATTGCTACACTGAAACAGTTTTGTGAAGAGGAGTGGTCCAAAATGACTCCAGATCGTTGTGCAGGTCTGATCTGCAACTACAGGAAACGTTTGGTTGAGGTTATTGCTGCCAAAGGAGGGTCAACCAGTTATTAAGTCCAAAGGTTCACATACTTTTTCCTCCTCTGCACTGTGAATGTTTACATGTTATGTGCAATTAAACCATGGCAACATCTAATGTTTGTGTAGTATTATGTTCAGCAGACTGTGTTCTTCTATTGTTGTGACTTAGATGACGTTCAGAGCACATTTTATGCCCAATTCATGCAAAACTCCACGTAATCCCAAGGGGTTCACATACTTTTTCTTGCAACTGTATATATATATATATATATATATATATGTGTGTGTGTGTGTGTGTGTTAAATTAGTGATCAAAAAAAATTGGGAAAAACTAAAAGTCCATAAAAAAATCTTTTCCACCAAGTTAATCTTCCAATTCCCAAAAAATCACCACGTGCAATAATGGCGTGACCATGGCAATTGGAGGATGAGCAGGGAGGAGTGTGATAATATCCATTTTGACTTCTTGTTTGGATTCACTTTATAAGCGATATGAGCCAACCATGCGAATGGGAGGCATGCTTATCTGGGAGTGCACACCTGAAAGGGGGAACACCATCTTTATTGCATGTGGTGATCTTTTGGGAATTGGAAGATTCATTTGGTGGAAAAGATTTTTTATGGACTTTTAGTTTTTCACAATTTTTTTGATCACAGATTTATTTATATGCACATATATATTTCTTTGCGCTACTGAATCACTATGAAGGTTTTTTTTTTTTTGTTGATCATATTTATTTGTATAGAAGTGGCAGCATTTATTATAATTTATTATAATTAATTCGTTTTGATTTAGATTTAATCACGCATCTAGCGCAAACGTTTTTGTTATATATAGTCCACAAGTCAAATATGCCAAAATCTCCTGCGCATAGCTGTAGAGGGCTGAAGACAGGGAAGTACACAAAAATATGTTCCCCGACAATTTGTACTGGGTCTTTTAAAGCAACTCAAAACAAATGGTATAAACATGTAAATGATTTTATTACAAATTAGTTATGAAACATCATAGTTTGACAAATTACACAAATGTTAAAATCATACATAGAAGACGTGAGGTGGAACCCAAATGGATGCGAAATTACAAGCGGATAGGCCAAGCCTTGCTGCTCCCGTGTATGACAGGGAAAGTCAGATATAACTGCAGAAAAAAATAGAAACGAGTGAACTGGCCTAGCGCATTATCCCAGATAACAGTTTACTGAATTATAATTAAAATATACTCACAAACAAAAGGTGACAAATTGCATAGCATGTGACCGTCACTGGAAACGTGCTCCAATTAGCACCAAGGGCCCCGACGCAAAAGAAGTGCTATCCAAGGGCCAAAGAAAGGCTGACGCGTTTCAAAGGAAACCCTCTTTCTCAGAGCCAAGGAACCAGAGCCCTTTCTCACACTAAGTATCCTAGAGTCATGAGCAGCTGACCCGTATGCACGTTCGCCATCCAAAAAGTAGGACGTCAAGACCAGAAGTGCGTTCCAAGAAGCACTTTCAGTATCACATGACATTACATCCAGTCCCATAGTCTATGCTGAAGGGGATTGAGATGTAAACATAATGGGAGGGCAGGAACAGCATGTCCTGGCTCCCCCTATATATATATATCTTCCTTATCTCAATAATACAGAATGAATAGTGTTCACCTTCAACACAAGGTACATGTTTTTAGATCTTCTCCCTGAACCTGCTGTCATAATCTGAAAGTAACGCAGCCATGTGGAGCTCCACCCATATGACCTCATCATTCATTCACAGTTTTCTGTGATTGAATGCATACAAGTACTGTCAGCCATTGAGGCTGATGACTTGTAGTTCTCAGTTGATGGTGGTAATTCATTGATTCTTCCTGCTCTCAGGTATCTGCCTTCCCATACAAGGCATGGGCAGACAGCTATTCTGAGAGTCTGCAGGAGCCTGTGATTGCTCTGCAAGCTCCTTATGAAAAAAAAAATAATAATAAGCAAACATTTTTTAACCTGCAAAAACATGCAGTTATTATTTCTTTCAAAAGGTGAATTTATTCTTTAACCGCCTCCCGCCCTCCATATAAGGTAATGACGGGTGCAAGGTGGTTCTCTTGTTCTGGGTGGATGTCATATAATGTCCTCCCACTCTAACCGCACGTGCGTGGCTCCGGGAGTGCGCAGCATGGTGATCGGTGGTGCACTGTGTCCTCGGA